GCGAAAAATTAAGTTTCTCCAATCTTCTCAAAACTCTGGATTATGATAGAGGGCTGTGAGACTTTGACCTGAGTGCAAAAATGGAGGCTCTAGACCCTTCCAGAGCTGAGATATCGAAATTCAAAATTTCGACCCGAAAAAAAAACGACAGTGTTACCCCTTTCGTTTTTTTTCATTTTTGGGCGAAAAATTAAGTTTCTCCAATCTTCTCAAAACTCTGGATTATGATAGAGGGCTGTGAGACTTTGACCTGAGTGCAAAAATGGAGGCTCTAGACCCTTCCAGAGCTGAGATATCGAAATTCAAAATTTCGACCCGAAAAAAAAACGACAGTGTTACCCCTTTCGTTTTTTTTCATTTTTGGGCGAAAAATTAAGTTTCTCCAATCTTCTCAAAACTCTGGATTATGATAGAGGGCTGTGAGACTTTGACCTGAGTGCAAAAATGGAGGCTCTAGACCCTTCCAGAGCTGAGATATCGAAATTCAAAATTTCGACCCGAAAAAAAAACGACAGTGTTACCCCTTTCGTTTTTTTTCATTTTTGGGCGAAAAATTAAGTTTCTCCAATCTTCTCAAAACTCTGGATTATGATAGAGGGCTGTGAGACTTTGACCTGAGTGCAAAAATGGAGGCTCTAGACCCTTCCAGAGCTGAGATATCGAAATTCAAAATTTCGACCCGAAAAAAAAACGACAGTGTTACCCCTTTCGTTTTTTTTCATTTTTGGGCGAAAAATTAAGTTTCTCCAATCTTCTCAAAACTCTGGATTATGATAGAGGGCTGTGAGACTTTGACCTGAGTGCAAAAATGGAGGCTCTAGACCCTTCCAGAGCTGAGATATCGAAATTCAAAATTTCGACCCGAAAAAAAAACGACAGTGTTACCCCTTTCGTTTTTTTTCATTTTTGGGCGAAAAATTAAGTTTCTCCAATCTTCTCAAAACTCTGGATTATGATAGAGGGCTGTGAGACTTTGACCTGAGTGCAAAAATGGAGGCTCTAGACCCTTCCAGAGCTGAGATATCGAAATTCAAAATTTCGACCCGAAAAAAAAACGACAGTGTTACCCCTTTCGTTTTTTTTTTTGGGCGAAAAATTAAGTTTCTCCAATCTTCTCAAAACTCTGGATTATGATAGAGGGCCATGAGACTTTGACCTGAGTGCAAAAATGGAGGCTCTAGACCCTTCCAGAGCTGAGATATCGAAACTCAAAATTTCGACCCGAAAAAAAAAACGACAGTGTTACCCCTTACGTTTTTTTTTTTGGCGAAAAATTAAGTTTCTCCAATCTTCTCAAAACTCTGGATTCTGATAGAGGGCCATGAGACTTTGACCTGAGTGCAAAAATGGAGGCTCTAGACCCTTCCAGAGCTGAGATATCGAAACTCAAAATTTCGACCCGAAAAAAAAAACGACAGTGTTACCCCTTACGTTTTTTTTTTTTTTGGGCGAAAAATTAAGTTTCTCCAATCTTCTCAAAACTCTGGATTCTGATAGAGGGCCATGAGACTTAGACCTGAGTGCAAAAATGGAGGCTCTAGACCCTTCCAGAGCTGAGATATCGAAACTCAAAATTTCGACCCGAAAAAAAAACGACAGTGTTACCCCTTACGTTTTTTTTTTTGGGCGAAAAATTAAGTTTCTCCAATCTTCTCAAAACTCTGGATTCTGATAGAGGGCCATGAGACTTTGACCTGAGTGCAAAAATGGAGGCTCTAGACCCTTCCAGAGCTGAGATATCGAAACTCAAAATTTCGACCCGAAAAAAAAAACGACAGTGTTACCCCTTACGTTTTTTTTTTGGGGCGAAAAATTAAGTTTCTCCAATCTTCTCAAAACTCTGGATTCTGATAGAGGGCCATGAGACTTAGACCTGAGTGCAAAAATGGAGGCTCTAGACCCTTCCAGAGCTGAGATATCGAAACTCAAAATTTCGACCCGAAAAAAAAAACGACAGTGTTACCCCTTACGTTTTTTTTTTTGGGCGAAAAATTAAGTTTCTCCAATCTTCTCAAAACTCTGGATTCTGATAGAGGGCCATGAGACTTAGACCTGAGTGCAAAAATGGAGGCTCTAGACCCTTCCAGAGCTGAGATATCGAAACTCAAAATTTCGACCCGAAAAAAAAACGACAGTGTTACCCCTTACGTTTTTTTTTTTGGGCGAAAAATTAAGTTTCTCCAATCTTCTCAAAACTCTGGATTCTGATAGAGGGCCATGAGACTTAGACCTGAGTGCAAAAATGGAGGCTCTAGACCCTTCCAGAGCTGAGATATCGAAACTCAAAATTTCGACCCGAAAAAAAAAACGACAGTGTTACCCCTTACGTTTTTTTTTTGGGCGAAAAATTAAGTTTCCCCAATCTTCTCAAAACTCTGGATTCTGATAGAGGGCCATGAGACTTTGACCTGAGTGCAAAAATGGAGGCTCTAGACCCTTCCAGAGCTGAGATATCGAAACTCAAAAATTCGACCCGAAAAAAAAACGACAGTGTTACCCCTTACGTTTTTTTTTTTGGGCGAAAAATTAAGTTTCCCAATCTTCTCAAAACTCTGGATTCTGATAGAGGGCCATGAGACTTAGACCTGAGTGCAAAAATGGAGGCTCTAGACCCTTCCAGAGCTGAGATATCGAAACTCAAAATTTCGACCCGAAAAAAAAAACGACAGTGTTACCCCTTACGTTTTTTTTTTTTGGCGAAAAATTAAGTTTCTCCAATCTTCTCAAAACTCTGGATTCTGATAGAGGGCCATGAGACTTAGACCTGAGTGCAAAAATGGAGGCTCTAGACCCTTCCAGAGCTGAGATATCGAAACTCAAAAATTCGACCCGAAAAAAAAAACGACAGTGTTACCCCTTACGTTTTTTTTTTTGGGGCGAAAAATTAAGTTTCCCCAATCTTCTCAAAACTCTGGATTCTGATAGAGGGCCATGAGACTTAAACCTGAGTGCAAAAATGGAGGCTCTAGACCCTTCCAGAGCTGAGATATCGAAACTCAAAAATTCGACCCGAAAAAAAAACGACAGTGTTACCCCTTACGTTTTTTTTTTTGGCGAAAAATTAAGTTTCCCCAATCTTCTCAAAACTCTGGATTCTGATAGAGGGCCATGAGACTTAAACCTGAGTGCAAAAATGGAGGCTCTAGACCCTTCCAGAGCTGAGATATCGAAACTCAAAAATTCGACCCGAAAAAAAAACGACAGTGTTACCCCTTACGTTTTTTTTTTTTTGGGCGAAAAAAAAGTTTCCCAATCTTCTCAAAACTCTGGATTCTGATAGAAGGCCATGAGACTTAAACCTGAGTGCAAAATGAAGGCTCTAGACCCTTCCAGAGCTGAGATATCGAAACTCAAAATTCGACCCGAAAAAAAAACGACAGTGTTACCCCTTACGTTTTTTTTTTGGGCGAAAAAAAAGTTTCCCCAATCTTCTCAAAACTCTGGATTCTGATAGAGGGCCATGAGACTTAAACCTGAGTGCAAAAATGGAGGCTCTAGACCTTCCAGAGCTGAGATATCGAAACTCAAAAATTCGACCCGGAAAAAAAAAACGACAGTGTTACCCTTATGTTTTTTTTTTTTGGGCAAAAAATTAAGTTTCCCCAATCTTCTCAGAACTCTGGATTCTGATAGAGGGCCATAAGACTTAAACCTGAGTGCAAAAATTGAGTCTCTAGACCCTTCCGAGCTGAGATCTTGAGATCCACGTAGCACTTATCCCATTATAAAAAATAGTGTTCGCGGACGGTGAATTTCGGACGGCCCTACATGATCTCAAATATCTCAGCTCAGGAAGGTCTAGAGACTCCATTTGCACTCAGTCAAGTCTCATGGCCTCTATCAAATCAGAGTTGAAAAAATTGGAGAAACTCAAAATTTCGCCCCGAAAAAAACAAAAGGGTAACACTGTCGTTTTTTTTCGGGGGCGAAAATTTTGAGTTTTTCTTTCTATTTCTTTCCTATTTCTTTCCTATTTTCCAGGACAAAATATTACATCAAATTATCGATATAACTGTAATCTTTTAGAGGTCCTACTTAAGTAAAAATTCACCAACTCGCCACATACGATTCAGTCTTTATATTGAAAAACTAAGACATTATACGAAAAAAAAAAAAATGTCTTTTTAAAAAATGTTCTCCTGTTAGAATGAGAACTGTAATGTGACACTGCAGACCAGAGTAATGATGCCGAAAGTTCAGCTTTCACTGCAGGAATAAACAATATTTTAAAGTAAATTAAGATAATGGCATTATTTTTAATTGTAATATTTCACAATATTAGCATTTTTTGTATTTTTGATCAAACAAATGCAGCCTCGATGAGCATAAGAGACTTATGTGTGGCATAAAAAGCCAACAAATCTCTTTGGCCAAGCATACACAACACACTATAGACTTCCTAAATTCAAAATTAGGCTGCATAGTTTAGATCAGCCTGAACGGGAACACGTCCGTAAATCCTGATGTACTTGGTACATCAAAAGGATGGCGTCTACGCTAATATTAGTTTCTCTGTTTAACCCGAGGGACCCTCTATGGGGACCTGCGCCTGGACCCATCCCGACTCATCCTGAAGTGCCGGCCTCATCGACACGACAGCCATCGGCACTGATCCTCAACATCTCGTCTCCAAACCGGCGTGAATGATTACTTCGACTTACAAACAGATGGAAATGGACAAATTCTCTTAATGTTTCGATCCAATTTGTTTTGTTTTGCCTTGGCTTTTGGCTTGCTTAGTTGGGGACATTTAATATTCAACAATATTATTGATCTGTGTTGTATTATTTTCATGTTTTCACTGTGAAGCTGCTTTGATACAATCTGTATTGTTAAAAGCGCTATATAAATAAATGTGACTGGACTTGACTTCTTTCAAAAACATTAAAAATAGTGTCCAAACTTTTGACTGGCACTGTAAAATGCAAATTTAATATATAGACCACTAAACCCCCTTTTTCAACATTCAACTCTTCCAAGTGATGCACAGACACTGCAGATGTAATGCTGAGAATATTTATTGGTTAACCCTTACAAGCTTTGAAACTCATTAGAACAGATCATAACGACTGACACAACTGTGTGGAGAAATCAGATGTGAATCAGTTATTTTCAACCACTAGCACATTTCCATTGGTCTCATATTTGATGGTGTTCCAGTCAAACACGTTTCCCTTCGGTATATTCTGTTCCTGGTTTAAATGCAAAGCCTTAATCTGACTGCCAGAGAGAACATAATCCCACATGTTCACATCTGTAATTTCGCCAACAAAGCTCTGCCTTGAATTAAAGGAACCCACATATTCATCAGGGTCCAGGCCGAGCAGAACGGTGCCACCAGGAAGAACTGACTTATCTTTCTTATAGATCTGGAACGCACTGCGCCGTCCATCCACCCAAAAAGCAGAAAGACCGGTTGCAGAGTCCCAGGTGACGCACAGGTGAGTCTGGAACGTGGAGAGAGGCAGGTTGAAAAATGCTCCTTCATTATTAGACTGAATATAAAAAGAAAAGCGGCCATCTTTCTCTCTCCACACGTTGAGCTCGGCGGTATAAGATATTCGGTAGGAGAACAGAATGATATCCCGCCCGACCTGGGGCTCCATCGTCACACGCATGCAGAGAGTAAACGCTGAGAGATTCAGGGGCCTTTCAGGAGTGAGTTTAACAAAGCTTGTCTTGGTTGGAAACAGAAGCACTTTACCGCCGAGACCCACTGCAAGACAAAACACAAAATAAACCATATTTTACTATACACACAATCCTACTCATACAAATCCGTAAAACCTAATCGTGTAAAATGCGGTACCTTCAGTCGCCGCTGCCGTCAGAGAAAGCAGACAGAAAAATAAAAGCAACATCTTGCTGCAGGTCTGGAGGAAAAAGTGCAAAAGGAAATCCGTTACTCCATTTAGCAGACACATTCTTCACCGCTTCATTGTTTTTAACACTAAATTACAACAGTTTATTACTACTAAGTGTTTAATCACATAAAAGAGACAAAGACACAAAAGGTTTCAAATACTTACGATGTTCCAACTGGTGTTTTCAGAGAGTAGATCAGATGTTTGTCTTACAGATGGTCGTGACTAGAAGTGTCGAGTATTTATTTACAGATTGGGTTCAGCCCAGATTCACGTATGAGCCTTTTTTTCTAACCCAGTTGTTCTATGTCCTGTGTGAATGTACTGGCCACATCTGTTGTTCATTAGGAAGGGCCTCTGTGTTTGGATGGTGAAGTCTATTTGTTATCCATTGGATACAGATGCGTATGTGTAATCTAGCCAGAAACTGACCACACATGGACTTACATGAACGTTTTCCTTGGTCTACCCATTGGAGGTCTGTTACTTAATACACCAGTGGTTTTTTTCTTCCTCAGGACGTTCCAAATGGTTGTACTGGCTATGGCCAATGTTTGTGCAATGGCTCTGATGGATTTTCTCTCAGTTTAACAATTGCTTGTTTTTCACCCATAGACAACTCTCTTGGTTACACGTCTAACTATAAATGCAATCTGCACAGGCAAAACCCAAATCTGAAACGCAGACATTCAGTGCTATTTGTAGGAATTGAGGACGAACCAGACACAAATGAATCTTCCAGGCGATTCAATGAACATAATTCCACACAAAACTCAACATTCAAGACCACCAAACACCAGTCTAATTTCGGGCCATAAATGGAGTGGCTCCAGCCAGTTCTAAAGCTTCAAAGAGATGCCCAACTAAAGGAGAACGTCGTCAACATTAGATTTTTGGAAAAGACTGATTGTTTCAGAGATGCACGGCTCAGGACCCACCAAGACAACAGCAGAGGTTTTTGATCCCAAGACAGACCTCCTCCTCTGAATGACCCATGGTTGAAATCTCTTAAACCACTGAGACTGAGACTTTACACTTAAAATCATCCCAAAACAATTCTTGACAGACTTCTAATCAAACATTCAAAACTACACTATCAGCAGTCAGTTCTCAGCATCACACACACACAGGATCCCAGACTACCCTCTCCCCAAGCCAACAACCCTCTCTTCTCCTTCACACCACTAACCGAGGTAGAAGTATCTAAGCTTCTCTCCAGTCATCCTACCACCTGACCTCTTGATCCCATCACATCACATCTGCTCCAAGCAATCTCTCCTACACTTCTTCCAGCTCTCACACACATCATAAACTCATGCCTCCACATTGGCATTTTCCCTCCAGCATTTAAGCAGGCTCGGGTAACTCCACTGCTTAAAAAAAAACACTGAACACATCCTCTTTAGTAAACTACAGACCTGTCTCAGTCTCTCTCCTACCATTCATTGCTAAAACAATTGGTTACACTTTATTTCGATAGTCACTTTAGACGTTCTACTAATTATAAGTAACTTTTCAACTACGTGTCAACTAACTGTCATTAGAGTATTCGTATATTACAGTAGACTGTTTGTTATGTCTAGGTGTTAGGCTTTGGGTTAGGAGAATAAGTTTACTTGTCGTCAGTTGAATGTCTGTTGGGGGACAACAAAATAAAGTGTTAGCAGATATTAAGCTGACAGTCTAATACTCTAATGACAGTTAGTTGACATGTAGTTGAAAAGTTACTTATAGTTAGTAGAATGTCTAAAGGACTATCGAAAAAAAGTGTTACCATGATTTATTATCAATGTTGGAAACAGTTGTTCTGCTTAATATTTTTTATCTCTTTTCCAGGATTATTTGATGAATAAAAAGAACAGAATTTATTTAAAATGGAAATGTTGTGTAACATTATACTCTACCGTTCAAAAGTTTGGGGTCAGTAATTTGTCTTCTTTTAAAGAAATTAATACTTTTATTCAGCAATGATATGTTAAACTGATTTTAAAAAGTGAGTAAAGACTTGTATTGTGATAGAAGAATCTATTTTGAATAAATGCTTTTTTTAAATAAATATTTTTAACTTGTATTCATCATTTAATTCTGAAAAAACAGGTTCCAAAACAATTAATACAATTACTAACCGTTCCAATATTGATTACTCAGTATCAAATCATCATATAGAATGATTTCTGAAAGATCATATGACACTGGACTGGAGTAATGATGCTGAAAATTCAGCTTTGATCACAGGAATAAATTAAAATTTGAAAGTATATTAGATAGCAAATTATTATTTTACATTCTAATAATATTTCACAATATAACTTTTTTATTCTGTATTTTGATCAAATAAATGCAGCCTTGGTGAGCGTAAGAGACTTCTTTC